CATTAAAGGTCTTGTCATGCCTGCCATGTGACAAGTGCGGGACGCCCAAAAGAAGCATGCCGCGCCTAGAAAAAATCCGAAATCTTCCAAAAGCAAAACTAAAGAAATTGAAATACATACCAGGAAATCGAGTGTTACAGCTAGAGTCTACTTTCTCTCATCTATGGACCACTTTAACCTGATTTCAACTCAATGGTGTGAAAGATGGATTTTATCCCTTTCACTATGGTTGATTACTAAAAGTGCAATGGTTATTAGTTCATTATTTACCTATTTCGAAGTTGATTTGTTCCCTTGGTCCATTTAAAAATTCTAATAACAATAAGGACAATTAACACAATGATCGTGTAGTTAGTTAATCCCTAAAACTAGTATTTAGTTCGTACTATGTAAGATTGATCGGGTAATGGATTTTCAATGGTCATGTCAATAAATTAAATTATATAATGGTCATCTAAAGCAAGCACATACATTAAAGTTTATTCCTTTATTATCCTAATCCTAGTATTTCGTCAATTACTAGTCACAACTATTTTAATGGTCATAAAGCAGTTATGATACAAGCCAACATAGTCAGATTGGTCCTCTAGACTACATAAATTAAACAATAGGCAACAAAATCGTTATACTAGCTAATTATCGACAGAAAAGAACTAGAATGATAACCTAATGATTATGCCTCTCAACCTGTATGATTCTTGCTCCAAATCAGCCTTCCGACCCTTTGACTGCCTTGTAGACTCTCAAAACCACAATTGTGAGGTTTCTTATTGCATAAGATGTAATATATAGTTTTTCGGTACATTAGTTCAAAAATATATGTCCTTTTATAGAATATTATGCTGACCAAGTTTACGAGAAGCATAAATCTAATTATGTGTCATGGAATTCAAAATTACAATAAGCATAACTCTAAGGCGTAATCGTAGTTTCCTGCAATTTTGCTTCTTTTCTTCCAGCAACGACATATGCTCCTTTTTCACTCCTTTTTGCTTCCTTTTCTTCCAATGGCTCCATAAATGTGTAAAATAGCAATTTAAACCTTTATAAGCACATTTTTCCCTAATTTACATCAAAACATAACATAAATGTACTTTATATCACTAAAAATATATGTGTAAAATAGACAATATATGTGTAAAATAGGCGATATCAGATGGCTGTTATTGTGCTATATTGATCATACACATAATAATAGTTTTAACTGGTTTGTAACGCTTACCAATTGTATCAAGTCTAAGGATCAACAAATTAGCATCCAGATTTCGTCATTTCTGGATTCCAAATCACCTTATATTCAACTATGCACTATATACCACCAACTTGTGTTATATCATAGTTTAAATCCTATTGACACTTATGTTTAATCTAATTACACTAAATATCAAGTGACACTAAATAACCTATAAAATTGGATTTAATCATAGACATTCTTGAACTTTCGACCATATTCAGCAAGAAAGGATTTAACTTTTTATAGGTGCAATAAAGGATCATGTAAATTATGCATGCATTCAACATAATGACGACTACATGCTGCTTCAAGGGTACACCAAACAAACCAAACATCTTTGAGAATAAGACCTTGGCCATAACTTCTTCATAAAGAAAATTTTGGATGAAGACAAGGACACGTTGATCATCATCTTTCCAAGTAAAGTATGTAGGATTTAGAGAGGATTGACATGCAGTTTTTATGGTGAGGGTAGTTGTGTGATGGAGCAATCATCATAACCAAGAAGCTTTTGGTAAGAGAGAAGTGGCAATTTGATTTCTCCATATAAGGTAATTTGAGGAAGAAAGCTCAATAGTAAGCATGTGATGAAGGGTAGATAAATAGGGGATTCATTGAAGACGACCATAATATGATTAGAAGGATGACATAGCATATTAGAGTTGGGAGATGATCATGATTAGGTAGATACCACACAAGGTTGGATAAAATCACCTCATGTGTGGATGATATTCAATTAGGTATTTATAATACAAAATGTGGGTTCGACTCGTACTGTGGTTTATATTTGTCGTTACGGTGAGAAGTGGCCGATCTAGAAATTTTTTATAGGGTATGTAGTGTTTACACTAGGTAGAGTAAATCTCATATGCTCTCCAACTTGCAAGACCTTCTCTTCCCCCTCTTGGAAACATGCTATCGATGAGGAAAAAAGTCGCCTAATGTATGGTCCTAATTTCAACATGTCACCTACACGACTCACTACATAGGTTTAAGGAAAGCAGTATACTCATGACCAGACACAGTAGAATAAAGGCCTAACTCTCAAAGTAGTGATGCTCCCCCGGTATCATAATAGAGTAGTATGTCAGAACTCTTTCTCTTAAGGTACGTAGCGAACTATCGGACTAGGAGCAATGATTTCTTTTGTTGAAGAATAAGTTCTTCCTCTAAATTGATGGTGAGAATCTGTTCTTGGTGCTAGGGCATGGTCAAGCTTTTAGTAGGCATAGAGTAGAAGAAACTGATCGATCGAGAGAATTTCCACCAGATGCCAGAAAGAGGAAGACAAAAGCAAGATTCCCCCCAGGGGAGAAATATGACTTCATCGCCAAATTCGGAGTAGTTCAAATAAAAAGTTCCAGATATGAGGATTAAGCCAGAGCGAGTTTGTTTGAGTCTTTCTTGGTTCTTGAAGCGTGAAATGCGTATGTGAGCATTGTTTTTCCGTCTTTCTCTTATAACGTTCTTATAGGATACGGCGAAACCACTTTGTGTTTAGTGGTTTTTAAGGAAGGATCAAGTCTTTTTGAAAGCTTCTTGAACCAAAAAATAAGCTTTGTGACCGATTTCTTTGAGTCAGCTTCTTTTCCGTGCGTGATAGAGCGTGAGGTTCGAGAGCGTATTGTACGAACAAATGATTTATTCGATCACTTTTCGCTAGCACTAGTGAGCGATGAGATAACATATGATCTGTGCGTTAAGAGAGCAGCAAGCATTTTCTACTTCAACAACTTCTACTTATAGTTATTTTGTGTTTCAAAATGACTTTAGTTTTCTCTTTTCTTTTTCTTTTAGTTGATGAAAAACAAACTGAAAACTACGAATGCTTTTAATTAATTGAATCTTTATTATATATATATATATATATATATATATATATATATATATATATATATATATATATATATATATATATATATATGGAAAAGTTCAATAGAGAACCATTATTAATCAAGGAACCAAGGAACCAATCCAAAGCGTCGGAATTTAAAGCAATCAACGGCAAAAGGAGGGTTGTAAACTTTTATAATGGACACACATGTACCGGATTATAATAAATCGCACTTCCTTTTTTTCATTTAAAATTTTTTTAGGCCAAGTTTTTTATCGAAAAAAAACCGAATATACCGTTATTCACGATTTTACGTCCTCTTTCCATAGAGATCCATGATGATATATAAAAAACGAACTTTTTTTTTCGAAAAAACTCACTTAATTTTCTTAGTTTTTTCAATATTTAAGTTTATTTTTATCAAAAAAAATTAATTATACCAAAAATATTAATTTTTTATACTCTATTAATAAACATCAACACCGATTAAAAAAAAAAAAAACTTGAACAGTGTAGATTCACACTGTGAATCAAAACTGTAAATATTTCAATTTTTAACATTCACAATATGAAAAATCCCGAACAGTTCGGATTCACATTGTGAATCTGAATTACTATTATGCACACTGTGAATCTGAGAAGGTTCACAAAAAAAAATAAAAAAATAAATAAAAAAAACCTCGATCAGTGTAGATTCACACTGTGAATCTAAACTGTAAATATTTCAAATTTTAATATTCACAATGTGAAAAAGCTCCGATCAGTTCAGATTCACACTGTGAATCTGACTTATTATTATGCACACTGTGAATCTGAGGAGGTTCACAATGTGAATCTGAACAGGTTCACAATATGAATCTGAACAGGTTCACAATGTGAATCTGAACTGAAATATCATTTTGTTTTTTTAACATGAACATGAATCTATGTTTAAAAAGTACAAAAAATATGAATTTTGATATTTTTATTAATTTTTTTCTATAAAAAATAGACTTTAGCTTTTTTCATCAAAGAAAATGAAGTGGGCTTTTTTCGAAAAAAAAGTTCGTTTTTTATATATCATCATGGATCTCTATGGAAAGAGGACGAAAAATCGTGAACAACGATATATTCGGTTTTTTTTTTTATAAAAAACATGGCCTAAAAAAAAATTTTAAACGAAAAAAAGTGGTGGGTTTTTTAGTAAATGGTGGATTTTTTGGTATAATCCGGTGTATGTGCGTCCAATGTAAAAGTGTACATCTATTTCCTTGGCCGTTGATCGTTATTATTTCCGACGCTAACGATTGGTTCCTTGGTTAATTATGGTTGTCTATTGAACCTCACCCTATATAGATATATATATATATATATATATAATATATATATATATATATATATATATATATATATATATATATATATATATATATATATATATAATATATATATATATATATATATATATATATATATATATATATATATATATATCAGAGTGATGTTTTATGAAAATTCGTCAAGTCCGATCGAGAAACCTGCGCCCAAAGTGCTTACGTAGCCGCTCACCATTCGGCTAAGATCCTTGATGACTGATTCATAAACCACTCGAGCTTTATTTCAGTCTTGTGTTAAGTGTTCACGTAGCGACTCAGTGACAAACAACTTGATGTCATACTATTCAGCATGAGGTACATCTAAGTCCTTTAACACAAATAACATAAAGACTAGGATTAGATGCTTAACATAACAACTCGTATGCTTTCACAAAAGAATAAGGAGCTCGCAGACATTTAACAAAGGATTGTGTTGGTGTTCCGCGCTATCTCAACTCCTAGTTCTAGTAGTAGAAGCTCGAGTCTGATCTATAAGAATAGATCTTAGGCGGAAATAGAGCTCTTTGAAATTGAAAGCGGTATTCCCCCTTATATATAGCCCAAAATAAATAGAATCATGGAATTCTCTCCGAGGGATGCTGAACTAACGACTCTATTAGAAAGTAGAATTAGCAATTTTTACACGAATTTTCAAGTGGATGAGATTGGTCGAGTGGTCTCAGTTGGAGATGGGATTGCACGTGTTTATGGGTTGAACGAGATTCAAGTTGGGGAAATAGTTGAATTTGCCAACGATGTGAAATGAATAGCCTTGAATCTTGAGAATGAGAATGTAGGGATTGTTGTCTTTGGTAGTGATACTGCTACTAAAGAATGAGATCTTGTCAAGCGCACTGGCTCTATTGTGGATGTCCCTGCGGGAAAGGCTATGCTAGGGCGTGTGGTCGACGCCTTAGGAGTACCTATTGATGGAAGAGAGACTCTAAGCGATCACGAGAGAAGACATGTCGAAGTGAAAGCCCCTGCGATTATTGAACGTAAATCTGTGCACGAGCCTATGCAAACTAGGTTAAAGCGGTAGATAGCCTGGTTCCTATAGGCCGTGGTCAACGAGAACTTATAATCGGGGACCGACAAACCGGAAAAACAGCTATTGCTATCGATACCATATTAAACCAAAAGCAAATGAACTCAAGGGGCACCTATGAGAGTGAGACATTGTATTGTGTCTATGTAGTGATTGGACAGAAACACTCAACTGTGGCACAATTAGCTCAAATTCTTTCAGAAGCGAATGCTATGGAATATTCCATTCTTGTAGCAGCCACCGCTTCATATCCTACTCATCTGCAATTTCTGGCCCAATATTTTGGTTGTGCCATGGGGGAATATTACCGCGATAATGGAATGAACGCATTAATAATCTATGATGATCTTAGTAAACAAGCAGTGTCATATAGACAAATGTCATTATTGTTACGCCGACCACCTGACCGTGAAGTTTTCCCAGTGGATGTTTTCTATTTACATTCCCGCCTCTTAGAAAGAACTGCTAAAGGATCGGACCAGACAGGCGCAAACAGGCGCACAGGTAGCTTGACCGCATTATCCGTCATTGAAACACAAGAACGATCCAAAAAGTAATTCAAGGATTTCACAATAGTAATAGTACATAATAATTTAAAGTTATTAAAATCGATAGAATATGACATCTTGTATTTTTTATATACGATTATCTATTTCTCTTATGAAATTAACAACCCTAAAAATGAACACATCAAGGTTTTGTATTATAAAATTTATAAATAACTTGTGTTCTCTAACCAAATTAACAGCCTTAAAAATGACAGCATCAAGGTTTTTGTATTCTAAAATTTATAAATAACTTAGTATTCCCAAGATAGTCTTTCTTTCAGATAAAGTTGGTATGTAACAAGAATTGTTACGTTTTTTGATTGTTTAAGATTTGGAGTATTATTTGTTAAGTTATGGGTTATTCTAGATTTTTTAAAGTTTCAAAAATCATTCCTATTTATTTACCCAAAGTTTTAAACTAAAGATTTTCCTTTTCTTTAATAATAATTATACTTTTTATTTTGAGTTATTAACTCTTACGGAAGAAAATTAAGGGTATCCAATTGCATACCCTTGTCATGCTATAGATCCGCTCATGCGGTGAGTTGAAATGTAACATATCATTTTCATTATTAGCGTCTCATCTTCTCTATAGAAGCAAAACTCGAACGCATACATAAGGTCTACAGTTCAACACTTGACATACCCAAAATGTTGTTATTGGTTTGGGTTTGGCCTCTCACGTTAACCTTATAAAACGTTTACATAAATTGCTCAGAGATTTAATATTTTTTATAATATAAAGGGTATATAAATTAAAAAATGATCATTACAGTAGATTATACCTTTAAATTAGAAACTAAATAATATCTTTATGAAATATATCCTCAATACAACCGAGAAAACACGGATAAAAGTAAAACCGAGGTTGGCTCACCTCTTGCTTCACTCAATAAAACACGCATGAGAGGTAAATGGTTATGCCTAAATTGGTTTAATCACACTTTTACATATCTACCCTTCAATGGTTATCTAAAGTCCTCTGAACAATTATATCGGCCTCTAACCTAATCTCAAGCTTATCATAATTTCTTTTAACCCTCTATATTAGTAGGTAAACTTTTCAATTAATACTCGTTTTAACATGCTCAACCTTTTAATGAACTTGAATGTTAATACTTGGCTTTCTAAGAGAAAGCCATGTAATTAGGTAAACTTTTCAATTAATACTTCTTTTAATATGCTCCATCTTTTAATTAACCTGAACGTTAATACATGGCTTGTTTTTTAACCGACAAAAATATATTTTATTCATAACTCACATGACTTTCTAAAAGATGGGGAATATTACAAACCACATTCTGTTGGCCACTTTTATAATATTGGAAGAATTTATCTAATATTGAATCACACCATCGTTCTTGTAATTCCATCACTTCAAGATGGATTAATGGGCCTGTAGATAGTTTCCATAATAGGCCCAAAATTGCTGAAGGAGCACCATTTAAATTCCAGAGAACTCTAGAAAAACTCAAATAGTCAACAATAAAAAAATAATAATCGATAAATCGAGAAAGATCAGATACGTCACCATAGTCACGGACCCACTTCTCAACACTTCTAGAAATTTCTATATCCATCCTCAACTATCCTATATATACACATTACCCCTTATGCTTCTTCATCAAAGTTTCTTGACAAGAAAAGCATGGCTCAATGTCAGACTACACTCCCAGTGTTCTCTCAAAGAATCACAACCCACAGATCAAACCCTTCGTCTTCAATTTTCATCCCAATTACTCACAAAAAGAATCCTAATTTCACCATCATAAAAGCAGACGCAAGAAACGGGGATCAGTTACAGAGAACAAGCATCAAGAATCAGCAACCCATCAAGAAGAGAGTCACCCAATCCCCACCAGTTGGTAAGTTTAAGTTTAAGATTTAATTTACACAACTTTTTTCTTATATTTGTGATATGATGACGCAAGATTCTTTAATATGAAATGAAAGAACCAATCAAGATTCAAATTTTCCAACTTTTTTCTTCCATTTCTGATATGGGAATGTATAATTCTTTACATTTAAGATTAAATAACCAATCAAGATTCGATATTTTCCATCTTTTTTCTTCCAATTTCTGATATGGGTGTATACAATTCTTGAAACATGAGATTAAAGAAAAAATAAAGATTCAATCTTTCCAACTTTTTTTTTTTTTTTTCAATTTTTGATATGGGTGTGTACGTTTCTTCAATAAAACATAAAAAAAAATAACCAAGAATCAATCTTTGCAACATTTTTTCTTCCATTTCTGATATGGGTAAGTAAAGTTCTTGATATATAAGATGAAAGAATCAATCAAGATTCAAAATTTCCAAATTTTTTCTTGATTTCTGATACGGGTTTTGTATCATTTATGATTCTCCAACATGACATCGAAAAACTAACCAAGATTCAATCCTGTTGTGTGTAGGGTTATGGGATAGATTTCCGACAGCAAGAACAGTTCAGCAAATGATGGACACAATGGACAGACTAATGGAGGAGCCACTGGCATACAACGGTGGCGGAAATGGTGGTGCGTGGGGATCTCAGGGACAGGGTACAAGCAGTTACAGCAGGGGAAGGACTCCATGGGAGATCAAAGAAGGTGAAGAGGACTACAAGTTGAGATTTGATATGCCTGGAATGACGAAAGAAGATGTGAAGGTGTGGGTGGAAGAGAAGATGCTGGTTTTGAAAGCAGAAAAAGTGAAGAAAGACAACAATGGTGAAAGCAATGGGGAAGCCATTGATGAAGGGGAATGGAGCCCTAAAAGCTTTGGGAGGTATAGTTTTAGGATTGCATTGCCTGAAAATATACAGTTTGAGAAGATTAAAGCTGAGGTTAGAGATGGGGTTTTGTATGTAACGATACCTAAAGCACCTGTTTCTTCAAAGGTGTTGGATATAAGTGTTCAATGAGTAGAAAGCAAGCAATTTTCAAAAAAAAAATTTGACAGTGTAAAAGAAAATTTCGAATTCCTAAATATTTATTGATGAAAATTTTGGCTATTTAAAAACTGTTAATGGTATATTAAAAGTTTGTAGATTTCTAGATGTTGATTAGTTAAATATAAAATTGGTCCGGTTTAGTATGAGGTCGAAGTAAAACGTTATATATTCAGTATTAAGAGATTATCGGTATAAATTGTGTGCTTCTTGTTAAGTGTTCAAATTATCTTACGGACAAATATAATGAATGTTCTAAAATATGATTTTTTTTTATGGGGTGTTCGTTAGCAAATTTTTTTAACCAAAGATCTTTTAGGCCAACGGTATTAACTGTTTTTTTTTAGATCGAGGGTTCGTTATATATATATATATATATATATATATATATAATATATATATATATATATTCATGAAAGTCATTAACCCTTATTTTCGTAACATATCCAATATTTGCATTTTAAAGTAAATTGTTCATCTATTTTCGTAACATATCCAATAGTTGTAGTAGACATTAGAACTGTCAACACAAATCGAATCAGATTGTCAACAAGATACTAATGACTTGCTTTTCGTGTCTCTACCAAACCTTGACATACTTCATGTGACACCCAGTTCAGATATTTAGTTATGCTTAGCATGTTTAAGTTTTAAGGCTTGGGTTTTGTGAGTTTTGCCTTGCCACTACACAGTGAAGTGGTCTACCATGGTGTGGTGTTTGCCACATCACCACGACGCGGTGGGTAACTCATCACGGCGCGACGCTCTATGGGCTCAAACCCTAGGTCTCAACTCATGAGCCCTATTTAAAGGATGTTGGGGCTAGGGTTTTCCCTATCCTCAACCTCCATCTCCTTTAGAGGAGTCCCCCAAAATCCACAACCCTCTCTTTAGATCTAAGCCTATTTTGGCGCATTTTTGCTCTTGAAGAAAGGAGAAGAGCCTTTGTGAGTCTTAGAGCACCCACGCAAGCCAAGTCCAAGAACCTAGAGTTCCTTTTGGACATTTGTAAGTAATAGGGCATAGCCTAGCTCGAAGCTACAAATATACCATCACCATACCGAACCATGTATATACCGAACTAGGTATATACCAAACTAGGTATATACCGAACCAAGTATATACGGACCAATGTGCAAGTACCGAACCACAGAAAATAACGACTAAGATACGAATTTACGTCACAACCGTGTCATAGTACATTAGGGCTCTAAGAAAACAATATGTATTGTGATAAGTAAGTGAGAGATCCTTTGATCAACGGGAAACAACTGTCAAAAGACTACCAACTACACACAAGTGTACCTTCGGGCATACAACCATTAATGCGACAAGATGACAAACCTGCTCGCTCGGTACAAGAAGAGGTCATAGCCTCCTAAATACCAACCATAAATAAGCAACGAAATCACTTTACAAGGTACGCAAACGAAACACACTGTTTTATTAAGTTTTACTCGATTCTCGACGTATTCTTAAAGTCTTCTCTGACTTTACCTTTGGAGCGTTGGTCCAGGAACCCCTCTCGGCCAATCAGCTTTCGAATTGTTATTGTCTCCAGGTTAACTTAATAGTGAAAGAGTCTATAACTCTCACAGTCAATGTAACGTGAACCTGGAGGCGCATCAAGTGGCGCCATCCATGGGACTCCGCAACAAATAGCTAGCTAACGAAGAAAACCCAGTTGTCGATGCGAGTCCTATCACAAGAATACAAAATCTCAAACGAAACCTCGAACAAACGCCACAAATTTCAATAGTAATAATAAAACAAGAACGTGACGTCGGAAGGCCTAGGAGAAGAAGGAGGAGAAATGATTTAAAAGAACTTAGAAGCGGAAAAAATAGAAATGGAGGAGTTTGAAGCCTTCAAGAATTTTAGATCCATGAGGAAGCGACAGATAGAAAGAAGTGAGCGGAGAGCTCAAAAAGGAGAATGAAGGGGATTTTGTTTCGATGCACACCAATCAAACAAGGGACTCAGGCGAAACGAAAGTAAAAGCCAAGGGAAATGAAGTAAGATTGAGTAGATAAGAGAATAACAAAAAAGAAGTAAGTTCGGGCCCTTCACGTCCT